AATGATCTAAAGCAGATAATATGGTAGTATTGTTGTAGAAATAACAAAGGAATAGTAGGAAAACAGGCTCTTTGAGAGGATAGTTGAAATAACAATTGGAAAAATATAAACCTGTTCGATATTACATTAAGCAATGAAATAAGCAATTCAATTCTTAGCCTGTAACAATCGAAAAATCCTATGCTAATTAATTTAAAAATGTAAAAAAAAAAAAAAAAATCACCTTAACATGGATTTAAAAAAAAAGAAAGAAAACGACGATGATTTCCTTTAGATTATATAATAATTGTTTAATAATTGCTATGGAACTTACGAATTCAGGATATGTTGAAAATAGAGTGAAACTCATGTGGATGCAATATTAATCCTCCTTATAATAAATGTATCTTTGTGGAAGTTTTTCTTTTAAAGATGTCTCTATAAAGCATTTACTTGGGGAAAATATTCCATCGTACGGATAAAGGCTAATAATTATATGAGGTTTTTTTTTCTAACTTTTTTACTACGTGTGGCGTATTTGATTATTACCAGATTGTTGAATTTTTAACGTAAATTTATAACATCTTTACTACATCATTACTCAATGCAGCTTTTTGCAATCGGTAAATATATCTATGCTATACATATACGCTCTATTATAATTCTAAGTAAGAGTAAATCTTTAAATATTTGTAATGCTTAATAACTATTTAGACTTTATTTGCCTACCGACATGTCTATCAATAACATCTTTAATTATTTCCTCGCTAAACAGTACACTTCGTGCTACTTTCTTCATCGGTAGCATACAATCAATTAATCAATCTTCACCGGTGGAGACATATTCAATTTGATGGTAATTTATGCCTGTATGTGGTGCTTTGTAAAAAAATATTTATTTGATATAAAACTTTTCTTTTATAATTCTTATCAGTGTAAAAAAAAATATTAAATTTTGTGGTGTTTAGTAATTGTTCGACTTTATTGTGAATCTAAATCTTGAAGCACATTTTAAAAAAAAGACTACACATGCGATCACATACACTCTGAAAACAAATTAACGGTTTCACCATAAGTCATAAAATGTGGAATGTTTTGAAGCGGAGACTCAGTGAACAATAACCAGATCTCTATTATACAATTATATAATTATATAATCAATTTCATATAGCGAACAAAGAGAGTTCTACAATTGACAGCATGCAGGTATGGTGAAAAAAAATCTACAACATTCTGCAACAAAATTTTATAGACTCACATAATGAACAGTACGCATGCTGATTTGTGTATCTTTTTTTTTTAGTTTGCTGACTTGTGAATTTTCGTTTGGTTTTTAAAAATTGTATTTTAGAAATTTTAACCTAAATCTAAATTTCAGATTAGTCTAAAGGTTTCGTACTGATTTGAATCTAGAGGAATTAGGAAAGTTAAACGGGGAAAAAAAAAAAAAAAAAAAAAAAAAAAAAAAAACAAGGCCGCTATTTGAGAAAAAAAGTTTGGAAGTATAGCAGTTTATCTTTCATTATTTAAATATATTCTGCTGGATTAATCAGTTTTACACATAACAGCGTTCAACAGAAGAAAGAATGATGCTGGATTAGAAATGCGGCGACAGTGACAAGTTAAGATATGCGCAGTTGACATTATTCCTGATACGATAACCGAACGGGTAAAATGGGCTATGACGATGTTCTGTCAGAGGAGGAAGACGGACATTGTGATTTACTATCGTCTTGAAGAAAGAAAATGACGAATAGTGTTAACCCTCAAATGTAGTTAAGTTAAATAAATGCACATATATTCAAGGCATAATCTACGTATACACAGAAGGAACATAATCTATATATTGTTTTTTAATTTGAATTTTGTTTTATACATGTCACATGTTTAAAAAATAATACGCAGGTTTTTGTCATCTGATATTTTTTTCCTTTACATTTTTTTTTTTTTTTTTTTTTTTTTTTTTTTTTTTTTTTTACAAAAATGTACATTAATTAAAAATATAGCAAAGATACTTTGAGACCTGAATCTCTGCTGCAATTTAGCCGAGGGAGTTAAGTAAGGTAGTGATTTTCGTCTTTTCTTCTTATTTCGTTGATGGATTGTGACATCCAAACTAAAGTTGTGCAGCTGTTGCAATTAACATTTCAAATGAAACTTGGAAAAGAAATTGACTTCAGAAAATGTTTTTCAGTGCAGCAACCAGTCCTTCCAAAGTATAATAGCCCTTTTATTATTTTGAAAGTTTTCTGGAGGGTGGTTGAATCTTACTCAACAAGACTCTTGTTCCAGACCTTGTGTTATTATACTACTAAAAGCATTTAAAACCACTGAGTAAAGAAAAATGCCCGAAGTTCTCTCATTTTTATTTTACTTTAAGAAATTAAATGCAAAGTACAGCTTTCCCCATTTGTATGATCTTGATTTCCTTTAAAAGGTGGGGAGGGGGGAGGGTTCTGAAAAATTAATGAATATTGCTTCATTAATGAATATTGATTCACATTTTGGCTCCTACTCCTTTAAAAATTAATTAAACCCAAAGGCTCATTCCTGTATCCTTTATTTTTTACCTTTGAAAATCTAAAGAACTAATAAAAAATGATGACTCTTTTTCTTCCAAGTCAATTCATATGAAGTCAAAATAACAGCATGGTTTTTATATTTTTTTTCTCCAAATGTCAATTTATTTCATGAAATAGTCAGTCAAATAAAACAAACAATGCTAAGAGTTCAAGGAACTCAGGTATTAACCTGTGACTTTGACATATACATGTTGCCAAACTGGCTTTACCATGAAAAAAAAAACAATCCTCTATGCCTTCGAATTCAGTTCTGTGGTTAATATGGTTTTAAGACAGATCAATGACAACCGATGTTTTACCTGATAACAATTGATCAACAATATTCATTATTATTATTATTATTATTATTATTATTATATATATATAGTTTTTGACAAATTAGTGAAAGTGATGAAGTTGAACAAAGCTTATTCATTCATAAACATGTTACAGATATGGGTAAAAATGTAAAAGAAAAAAGGATGCCCCACGGATTCTGGTCGGATTTGATTTGTATCCAACTCGTTGTGGATACATATCATGCCTTACCACAAACAATGGGAGATCATACATATATTCTTAGACATGGTATTGTAAGAGAGAGAATAAATGTAAAACTATAAATATATAAGTACAATACAACTATTTTAAACAAATTGAAGATATGCAATATGAAAATGTTGATACAATTAAGAGATACATCTCCAGAAACAATTAAGATTTAAGTTTTAAGGACTGCATAAATAGGTATACCATATAAGATATTTGCCTACGATTCAATCAATGACAATGGTCTGACATGATAAGTATCCTGAAATCAAACGAAAACAAAGATCAATGGTGAACATCTGCTTTATAAAGTGATATCTCACTGACTCTTACTGTTACTCTTACTTTCAAGCATTCATAATAATACAATAATACAATATTTCTTGTGATGTTTTAGTCTTCGTTTTTTGTACTGCCTCTCTCTTGTTATTGTCAGAAAAAGCATGATGTGATAATTTCATTAACTTTATTAGTTGATGCACTGTTCATGGGAGGGGACATAGTTTGGTCTAATTTGCATAACTTTTGCTATTTGTACATTTTCTTTCAAAAAACAATTTGGAAAATGAAGACATGAAAGTAGCAAATAATGAAAATTAACTCCTTAATATATATAGCAATTATATCTAACATGTTTAAATAACTTTAGAATATTTAAAAATTAATTATCAGACGAATGAGTATTTTGTTTAATTATTAATCCCATAATATTTTAGATACTTGCACAAATCATACAAAATTTACCATTCACTACATAATATTTAAACTTGTAGGCCACTTTTTCTATTACTTTAGAATCGGATGTTCCGTTTCAATTTTATGATAAATATACATGAAGGATGTGTAAATGTCAATTTATTTTAAACATTGATCAGAGGACAAAATGTCAAAACATCCTTAAAGAAAATAATATACTTGTTTATCCCCCTAGCTAATTCTTGAATCATAAACATGGAAAGGTCTGATGGCACTTTTTATATTAAAAAAGTGATCACACTGTCATAGTCCCAAGATGGTAGGGGTTGGTTGCCAAACTTTCTGGAGTGTACAGTTTTGTCTGTTTTGTTTTAATGTTTTATGAAAAAAGTCAACGACGGAGTATACATTCAGGATGAAAAAGGTGAAGATCACAAACAGTCAATGATCTCAAAACTGCCACGATTTTGGAAACGAGCACATTCGTTTAACATGCTGATGCGGTTTTATTTTTTTAGGTATTCCAAAGGTTAGCACTAAGTCAGTACTTTGATATTATCAAGAAGTTGTATTGTTGCAGTTCAAAGGATACCATGAACAAAGTTCATTATGATTTGCGGACAATGGGAATCAAATCCACATATTGTCATTGTGAACCTGTCTTCTATATCTCCAATAGTCATGTCAGAACAGGATAAGTTACAAACAACTAATCGTACATCTTCCTTTTCTGTCGCTTTGCGATACATTTGAAGAGCTTCCACAGGATGTGGATGTCCTTTGCAAGACTTGGAATCGGTGTATATTACAATTGCATCATAATGCTTCTTCTCCTGCATTGCATATTTAAAAACCGAAGAAGCATCAGAGGCTGAATTACTTGTAGTAACTGCAATATGCTGAATTCTACCGATAACGTCTTCTATTCTGGCAGTTGATTGGATGGATAAAGGCTTAGGTGTTTCAGATGAGAAGACTACAAAGTCAGAATGCTGTTCTGTCCTCGCTGCCAAAGTCACCATGAAGGCGGCAACATCTATAGCACGTAAAGAAAATGTGCCTGGGACTTGGATTTCATCCTTCATCGACTTACTAATTTCTACTGCAACCAGGAAGCGTTTGCCAGTGGGTCTGATGTTTTCAAAAGATAAGTAGAATCCGTTTTCAAGGGCAGTACAAATCTGAGGTAACACCGCCCAATTTGTTTTCTCAGAGCTATTGTGACCTTTCTTGTACTGGTTTATTGCTTTCAGAAAAATCACTGGATGCACTTTTTTCCATTAAAATAAGTTCTCTGTTTTGCAATTTCCCCAAGATCAAATTTTCTTCAAACGATTCTTCTTCGTCTGATTGTTGATTTTCTTGAATGAACATATCCAAGTTTGACATTTTTCCAAGGTTTCTGATTAGAGCTGTCATCGGCATATGTCTACTCAGGGCCAACCAAACTTGTTTTTCATTTAAGAAAAAACTAGGGATGTTTTCTCTGACTAACCTGTGCTTAAGGATTAGGTCTATAATCACCTTTTTATCATTTGTTTTCTTTGCACTCTCAATTCCATCTAGCAATTCAGCAACTGCTTTCAGAAGAGTTTCATTATTTTTTTCCTGTTTCTTAAGTTTGTCAACTAGCGAGGTAGAATCGGCATATCGCTTCCCCTTCCTTGCAATTATTATCAAATACTTCAAGGCAGAATTGCCTTCTTCCACTTTGAGATGAGCGAGACGGATTGCTTGCCTGTGTCTCCAACCATATCTTTTTGTATATTTTGTGAGGTGTAACGCCAAAAGCTTCAGATTTCGTTCTGATGATCCATATCTCCGGTACCAATCACATACTGCTTTACGAAGACCCCGTCCCCATCCTTTTCTTGATGTCAAATCAAGGCTTATTTTTTGGCAGTAGTCAAGGTATCTGAAAAGATGGGTTGGTGTTCTGCAAACCTTCTGTACAGCTGCAAAGGCTGCATGCTTTGTAACTTCATCAGAGGACCGACAGCAGAGCGCCAAAGTAAATAAAGTAGGATCCTGCTTGAATGAACGACAATTTGTAGAGAAATCCGTTAGAAAATCCACCACCTTTTTACCATATCCATCGCCTACCAATCTTTAAATTTAAAAAAATGAAAATCAGTTATCAATTGTAAAATTAAAATACATATTAATCAACACTTCAAAATTATCAATGAAAAGAGAAAATAATTTTCCATAATGAAAATAAATCTTACTAGTATATTTATTTATCTGACCTGAGCTACATATATTCTTAAGTTATATTACATGATTAAAGTTTGGCCATCGTCGACCTAAATGTACGTCTGACTAGCTTTTTAGCTTGATTTTCCAATCACGTTTACACAAATTAAATTTGAAAACCTTTCTGATAAAATATCCTCTGTTTATCCTCGAGGGTTCATCATTAACTTTTTTTCCCTTCTTGTCCATTTGGACAGGTTGCCATTCAAAATATATATTTCCAAACATATTTTATACTTGCCCTGCAATTTTGTAATTTCCAAAAAATAATGACAAAAGACTGTAGTTATTCATTGAGCATCTTTCTGTGATTTTCTTGAAACATCAATGTAATTACAGTTTTCAAGACATTTTTAAAAAAAATGAACTTGCTTTCGTAGAAAATACAATAAAATCGTTCATTAATAACAGACAATGTATCCATTTTAACACAAACTTGTTGTCCTTGTTATCAGAAATATGCCAACAAAACAGATTTAAACTGTTAATATTAAAACATTTTTTCGCTTATTTCACCAGAAAGTAAAAAGCAATTTGAGTTGAAGGATTAGACAAAACAATGTCCCATATCTCTCATGATAATAAAAAAAATAATTTGAAGATACATGCATACATAGCAGAACAAATTTTATTTGACAAAAAAATATACGAGTATTCAATCTGAGAAAAAAAAAAAACTCCAACGTCCATGTGCCTCAAGATAGAAAACAAATTTGATTGTTGTTCGAAATATAACTTTATTCGAAAAAAAATGGATTAAGATAAATTTACATGTAAAAAAGAAACCAACAGAATGTATTCCAAGAAAAGAGATGTAACTGAATATATCTACTTTCTGATGCTAATGAAAAGGTTTTTCAACAGAATATGCGTAAAATAAGCTTAAAAAAAACAACTTAAAAAATGGATAATTTTAATGCAGACTCTCTTTACAATTCATATAAATAACTTCAAAAGAGGTCATTATAGTCACTTTAATTATTTCTAGGCTCCTAAGCATTTTCTATGTCTAGACATGGACTTGACAGATTGCATTGAGGACTAATTTTTATTGAATTTCTGCTGAAAACTTACTGTAATATAAACCTGGCATCATCTAGTTTTAATTCTCTTCGACGTCCGGTTTGATAGCCATTGCAAGATGCCCCAAGACACAAAAAGCGGTGGAGTTGTGTTTCTTGGGTTGTTTTGAAGACGAAGCCTCCAGCTGGATTCATATGCTGATGTTCTGAGATACAGATTTCTTGACCGTGACAATCCATTGCTTCAGCTTGAAGACCAAGAAATTCTTCATCACGGGTATCCATTTCCTCATGATCAACCTGCAATGCCATTTTACATATATTTTATGTGGAATTCCCGTCGATCGTACTTTCGGTTTGTTAATTTAAAAAAGAAATAAATGTGAAAAATAACTCAACAAAATCCGGAAAAGGAAAGGAAAACACTAGATATTGTAAAATTAAAAAAAAAAAACTACTTTATTCATAAATAAAAATTACCGGTATCTTCATGAATGTACAAGATTCTGATTCAATATATTTATGCACTTCTTACCTTAAATTTACCTGGAGTTATAGTGAAAAGGGAAACTTATATAGATTATTGTCAACAATTGTAAATTCACATTATCTGCGCAGGTAGGTTAAGGCTTCCCGTAGAAAATGACAGTGCACTCTCTGCCTTCACATCTCTGAACTACCAAAATATGACGTCATAATGGAAAATGACGTCAGTTCACTGCAAACTTGAGGTGTTATGACGGGGAGAGTGTCATGAACTTTACACTTTATTTCAAACTGCATGTAAAATGCTAGATAGCTATTGCAAAATTCACGGGTCGTTAAAAGTTTTTTGAGTCTTATAAGTCCGAATATTTTAAAAATACACAGTTTACCTACCCTTGATTGAAATTCATCATGTTCAAAATGCTTATGAAAAATATACTTTTGAAATGTACTCTGTTTTATACCCGTGGTTGGAGGTAGAATTTATTTTGTGTGTATAAAAGAGTCTGGCGCAGATGATTAATGAGGATTAATCTGAGAATTTTTGTGGAAATCTGTAAGAAGAGGTTGTTCTCTAACTGAATCTTGCTTGGGAAAAATGTGTGTTGGCTTTGTTTTAATACAGATTACGATATTGTGTGGAAAATACCCTCAAATTTGTAGGTTAGGAAATATTTTGTACCCAAGTAATACTATGATTTTTCCCAAGCACATTTCGGATACACAAGGATACGATGAGTTTATTTATATAACAAAATGTTAATAATTATTGTGTTAATCAGCTGCGCCGAAGCGATTTATATGAAACACTTCAAAAAATTATAAATGACCGTCATGTGATCAACAAAGTCATGTGATATCATAACAAATATGCTAATATATAGCCGAGGAAACCCTTTATATAAATTTGAAGTACTAAAGTTCAATACTTGTAAATTAAAACCAAAACCGACCTTGCAATGACATATTATGTTTTGAGCGCATTTTAAAGCTTCGGGAAGCCTTAACATAGCTGCGTGCAGCTTATGCAATTACGATTTTCTTTCAAGCTCTAAATTTTTCCCATGACCTGTTTAGCTATGTAATGCTGTAATTCTTGAAAGATTTGTGAAGTAAATATGATGTATATTGAATACGTAAATCTGATCCGTTTAAAGATAGGATGCCATCGGGAGGTTTTCTATGCAAAAGGAATACTAAATATATTATGTTTTTCTTCGGGAAATGGGACATTTACTAAGGGGTTTTTACTCTTTGGCCTCAGTATCGAATATTTACTTCAAATCAAAACACTTCTAAAACTTTAGTAATACCATTTTATAGCATGTAGAGATGTGTCAAATGCCTAACAATGCATTGACGGAAAAGGAAAATCAATCTACTTCCCATTCAATGAAAATTGGACCTAAAAATAATATGATGGCATAAATTGTGTTCTGAGATACGATTCATGAGACGTCAATATTCATCATAAATATGTTTTGATAAGCATATTTACTTTTCTTTGTTTCTGTTCCAAGGGAATTCCAATATGCGAATCATAGGTGGTTTTGTTAGTATTTTAAAATTAATATATTTATTCCATCACGAATAAATATTTTTACTAAAATTTATATGATGCTAAAGCTGTAACAGAATATATCATTCAAGATATATGTTTATCGGGCTTCAAAAAATGTTGTGCAGATTACGAGTGGAATACAGAAAGTCAGCAGTGCTAAAGTAAATCCATTAAGGACAGATGATACAAACAAACTTTTATCAAAAAAATTAAAAATAACAACTTGAGTAATATTTCACATTAATGGAATTTGAAGTGACAAAAATTCGTGTAGATTAATAAGGATGGTTACAGAAAGGTAGAATTTTGAATGTTATAGAAGGTTTACAATTTCGTATTATTTTAGAATTTTATTACTTGCATCGTTTTCAACAAAAATAAAGCCCAAAATATATAACAATCCAGGCATCATTTTTTTTGTTTGTATCATTTGTCCTTAAATATTATGGACTCTTATAAATATTTTAAAGATATCTATCTATAGTTACACATGTGTATAATCTGATATTTCAAACTGTTGAAAGTCAATGTAACGTTTGATGCATCAAACCAATGTTTTAATTTTATACATATGTATATTAATTTTATTTGAATAGATGAGCTAATACATCATTCTTCAGTAGAAATATGCCGTAAAATAAAAACATATATTTTACATCACCCTCAACCACGGAAATAACTCCTAATACTTAATCTTATGTTACCAATGTCAATAAGTTCCTAGTACATTAGAAATGATCATCTAAAAATATAAAAGTAGTAACATTTCTCCAGCCAAGGAGCAAGTATATTATATTAGATTGTATCTTTCTTGATCTTGCTATGACCATTTCTTTCAGCCTTCTTGGGTTTGCAGAATCGCTTGGCATTCTTTTTTGCTGCAAATGAAATAAGAATATACATACCTTTTTTTTTTTATCTTTGCAAAAATATTTACAGGATGTTTAACCGTGTACAGTGGCGAAAACTGTAGTCAATCCTGTCCTTATCCTTTTTATTGAGAAGAGTGTCAAGGAATATGTGATTGTGCTGAATACTTCTGCAATGTTTCAAGCGATTATTTGGTACACACTTCTAGTAAGTGTCTTTTGTGTGTGTGTGTGTGTGGGGGGGGGGGGGGGGAGGGGTCTTCAATTAGAAACAGGGTGAAAATATACCTTTCATTTAAAATAAATGGTCACTGAAATAGAAGGTTCAGGAACAATTCAATGATCGTCAAGTCATCTCAGTGTCAATGAATGACATGACAGGGAATTTTTGATAGTCTATCAGCACGTTTTATTTTATTCTAAAAAATAAAATAAACAAACTTTTGTTTCACGAAATATTTTCCCCCCTTTTACGTGATTTCTATTAGAATGATAAGGAGACTGCGGGCATTGGAAAGAAAAAAAAAACGTTTTGGGAAAAAAAAAATTACATGCAAACTGAAGAAGGAACTGAAGTTCTCGTGAGTTATTTCACTATGACGGCTTCATTTATAGGTCAAAAATTTACTCGTATAAACGTGCATGTATCAAAACTTACCTTAATCTTATTACATTTTTAGATATATTTTATTTCTTAGATGTGTAATAAATTAAGTACATAACGTGCATATTGTGTGTCAGTAGTTCGGATTTTAGAGGCAGTCTGATTATTACAAGTCTCATTTCACGTAAATCTTTTTGAAAGACAGAAAGAATACAAGTCTTATTGAAAGCCTATCAACCGAATTGAAAAACCATACAAAAATGGCAATGGTCTCCAATTACACACCAGGAGGATCTATTGATACAGAAATCAATTATTTAAAAAGATATATCTGGATAGAATTGTTTTAGAAATGCTGTAGTCATAGCTATAATAATAGGCTTTATTGAGAAGTGGAGTAACATTTTTTTTTTAATATATATCTGTTAAACATGACATTAAGCAATGATAAAAGCAGTTAAATTCTTATCTTATACATGTAACAATAGAAAAAAAATCCATTACAAATGAATTGAAATGTTTTTGAAATAAAAATAATACACACTCAATACTTAAAGAAGCATGATCCATTCCAATGATATGATTCAAAAACTTCTTAAAATAATTATTAATATCTATTTTTTCATTAACTACACTATGAACATGTACATTGAATCTGCATAGATATGTATAGGGTAACATTTCTAATTTTTAAATCGAAATATATGTTAGAAATGGACATAAATATGGGCGACATTTGCTTCACAAAGTGATAAAACTCAAGGACGAATGAAATGTTTTTGTTCAACTACTTATTTGAATACGCCTCACTTGTATGTAATAAAAATGCAGAAAAAACTCAAACAACCTACATGTATTAACTATGAAAACTACAAATAATCGTATATATTGCATGGTAGTTAGCATAACGAAAAGTGTGGATCAACCTATGATACATGTGCAGCTGTATCCTCCGTTCAACCTTCATGATTCATCTTCATGTACATGTAAATTCCCCTTCTGTGATACGTCAATACGATGATCGTCTGCTCAACATCTGTCTTGCAATTAAATTTTAGCACTTAAATACATGTACCTGAAAATAGATTGACACATCGTAATGAATGTTAGATTATTTTCCCTAGTTGTTAGAAGCAAACAGATTTTAGCGCTACTCACAGGTAAGTATATTATTCTTATTCTAAACTATCAGTTCAGCATAATGACAGTTTGAGTTTCATCTCAGCAAAGTTCTAATTACAATATATAAGGAATATTGCGTGACCAGTGTATATAACGTTACCAATCAAGCAAAAATGGATGGGAAGAATTGTTAACATGTGATAATACTAAGAACAGTTGATATAACTAGTTAGTAGACCTCGTCCTTTAGTATCAAAAAATGTCACGAGTTTCTTAATTTACAAAATCAATACGTCTGTTTAATCAATCGTTTCCTGACTTTTGATTACAAGCACAAGTTAGTGTTTTGTTCCGTCGGTTGTATTTTGTTGCATATAGTGTAAAGAGTATAAAAATCCTAAAGTCAAGTGCCACAGACACTCTGATTAAGATTCGGTATTTTGTTTTTATACCATTTTTTAACAGACAAATAAGACACTGTGGTGCACCAAATCAGGAGTGGACTCAAGATCAAGAGGTTAACCAGATTAGTCATGCACTAGTCTTCTTAGACGCCCTCTAAACATATTACTAATAATACAAATATGCAGTTTTTGATATATATATATATATATATATATATATATATATATATATATATATATATATATATATATATATATATATATATA